TCCCTGCCTCTGGACTAAGTGTCCTGGGACGCTTCCATCCGGTTTGGGGTCCCTGTCCCTTTAAGACTTCCAGAAAGTACCAAAAAAAAAATTTTTTTTTAAATATATAATTAAAAAAAAAAAGCCACTCGCTTTTCTTTGTCCTAGGGCGTCGGCCTCAGGGACCCACTCACCGGTCTTGCTGCCCTGTTTCCCTAGTATCCAGGACCCCACACATGCACTGTGTCTGCACTCTGGTGCGGGTGGCTGGGGCTGGGTGTTCAGCAGTCCTGGGCTCCTTCTCCCTCCTGCTCCGACTCCTCTCCTCCTGCCAGGAGCTGGGGGGAGGGGCACTCGGGTCCTGCTGGGCTGGGGCTTGTATCTTACCCCCTTCGCGATGCTCTGTGTTCTCGCAGGTGTGGATGTGGTCTGGATGTTGTCCTGTGTCCTCTGGTCTCTATTCTAGGAAGAGTTGTCTTTGTTATATTTTCATAAAATATATGTGGTTTTGGGAGGAGATTTCTGCTGCCCTACTCATGCCACCATCTTGGCTCCACCTTGAAATTTACTTTTTATTAAAGCCTTTTGTATATGGCAAAATCAATCTAGAAACTTTATTAAATTCTACTAAATAGGTATTTCTTGAGAGCAAGATAATTTAATTATGTGTAGCACATGTATATCTTTCTAAATGTGTTCTCATTGAGGTTTTGTCATTAAGTAAGTATGGTTTCCAGCAAATTACCAATCATTAATTTCCTCATTTTCCCTTTCAGGAAGCCACTGTTAGTCTTTGTTTTTTAAGTTTCTGTAATCTTTCATAGTCTAAAGTTTGAACATAGGGAGGTAGTCTTTTTAACAGTTTCTGTTACATTACTCAAATGATTTAACTTTTTTGCACCAGTCACATTTTTAAATGGGGATTAAAAATGCCTCTTTCCCTTACAGCACTATTCTTTTAACAGTATAAAATGCTAGATAAGTAAAAGAACATAGTTACTCAATTAAAAACAAGACATGGTTATTTAAAAAATACTGTAAAAAAACAAATTAAATGTGCCAGTCTGTTAATCTGATATAATGTACTTACATTTAGTACAGACTTAAGCTGAAACAGTGATCAGGCTTAATATTTTTAAGAAGCTCCCAACAAATGTTTAGTAATTACTGTGACTTACTGAAAATTGTTACCATAAAGAAATTTAGGAATTAAGAATGTTGACAGAAATTTCATTTGATAATCATAGTATGCAAAATATCTTTATTGGTTAAAAACTTTTATATAATATTTTCATTTTTGACTTACGTTTAGTCAAGAATACAGTGTTTCACTTTTATAGAAGTATTTGCTTAAATGTCAATATTAAGACCAAAAATCTTTTGTGTTAAAATATTTTTAGTTTAAGTTGAAAGTCCGAATATTCTGGGTTTGTTTTGCAATTTTTTAGCCATTGTTTCCATCAGTCATTGCTGAGTACATTTTATTTTTTGAAGTATGCCAACTAAAAAAATTGTCTAAATTAAGTGTTGTATTGGTATACTCAGTGAGAGGTTTAACATTATTTCATACATACCTTTTCATGAATTGATATAGTGTCCATTTTTAAAAGTTAAAGCATCATTATGGACCATCATATTGTGCTTTGTTTAGCCATTTTTCCTTTTTTTGTTCATCTCTGTAGCTTTTCTGCAATTAGATAAAAAGGGACCACAAAAACATCATTTTGATCAGCCTTCAGTAGTGCCAAGGAAAAATTACTCTTTTACAAGAGAGGAGGTGCGGCAGATTGATCAGGAAAATCAGAGGCTTTTGAAAGAATTGTCAAAACAGGCTGAAAAATCAGGAAGCAAAAGTTCGGTTCCCAGAAGATCGATGGGTCATCCCCCTAAGTTATATCATACTGCTCTCAACAGACAGAGGGAACAACAAAGGATTGAAAGAGAAAATTTGGTAAGTAACAAGTTTCTTAGTCGTCAAAGAAAATGCATTCGTACTGATTTGTAAGTCCAACTTACAGGAAACCCAAATACAGCCAAATTTTCAAACATAATTATATCAAAGTAGATAAAGATATGTGTGGCATGATGAGCTGTAAGCCTGGAAGGTACAATATGTATTTATACATCAAGCAATATTTTAAGGGAACATTAAGTGAAAATACTGAAAGCTCCATTATTTATTTAACCTGATATGTTAAATCACTACAGTAGTACAGGAAATGGTGTCCTAGGGGCAGATAATATATATATCTTCTATGAAACATTTAGTCATTAGCTAAATCTGTTTCACTTTATCCTTGAAAGTTAAAATTATGTATATATCATTTATTGTAAAGGCTAAATATTTTCTCAAAGAGGTAAGATTTCGTTAACCGCTACTTGACTGTATGAAAAACATTATTAAAAAATCATGTAGTTACATTCTGATGTTCTGAGGAATATATATATGGGAACTGTTAAAAATCTGCATTATTTTCTTCATAAAATTCAGTTCATAATAACTGGGAGCTGAGGTGGTACATTTACAAAAAACAGTAGTCTTAAACCCTTCAGGAGGGTTACCATGCATATGGCAAGGAGTAGCTAACAACACACATTGAAATTATGTTGGTGGGCAGTGAGTTACATGATAACTTTCTGCACATCATTATAGCAATTACAGGATTCACTGATGATTTCTGAAAATTTCAAATTACTGTATGTCATAAACATTTGGGCCTACCTTTGTTTTTACTTCCCCACATGGCTCTGGAGCCTGTTTTATTTATTTAACAAGCAATTACATAGTGGATAGTATTTTACAAATTTTAGGTCATTTAATTTTCATAGCAACCTTATGTGACATAGTATTGTCATAGAGGAGAAAATGAGACTGAAAGGGACACAAAGACTTGTTACTCCTAATGTCCTTCAGAGTTCTTATTTTAAGTCTGCTGTGAGCTATATAAGACACTGGAAGAAATAAGAGAAAAAATACAAAATCCTGTCCTGTGTCGTGTAATATATAACTTAGCTTAAAAAGATAATACCATTGCATGTCAAAACAACTGGAAAATAATGCAAAACAATATTAATGATACCATTAACATTTAATGACTCCTTACTATATTCCAGGCACTATTCTGAGTGCTTCATATGCAATATTTCACTTAGTACTCAAAGCTAATTCTTTGAGTTTATTTCATTGTTAATACCCCTATCAAGTCATTTGGCCAAGTTCACATAATCAATGGCAGTCAGGATTTAAAGCCAGGTCTTTCTGACTAGATAGCTTACATTTTTTTAATCACTCTATTACATGTGTTAAACCATTTTGAACTGTCATTTTTAAATTTTACCCAGGAGTTCTAAATTGATAACTAGATTAAAATGTATATACTTTTGATTTGGATTTTATGCTGTAATCAGTACTTCATATTTTGATACTGTTTCTAAAAGCAAGAGCTATTTCTATCTGAAATCATTTCTTTAGCTTTTGTTTAGCTTGTTATATTCATGATACACAGACTGATAACTGCTGTTGGTTCCATGTGCTTTGATAACTGAGCCAAGTCATTTCCCTTTCATTTTCCCATGTTTCTGCCATGTAAATGTGATAAGTGACATTTCAGGACTACAGAGTGGGTTTATTTTTTGCCTTATTGTCAAATTATTTCAAAGTTGATTTTAATGTTACTTTATATGCTTTACATCTGATGAACATTGCAATTTTCTTAAAATTTAAAAAAGAAAAACACACACCCAATCAGATAAATAATTTACGATACTAGACGTTTATCTAAAAAATAGGGACTTCTACCAGCTAAAAAGTAAAATTAGTAGTTAACTGTAAACACCAAGTTTCCTGTCCTTTCTACCGTATACAGCTCAGTGAATAGTTAATGGGATAATCAGTTAAAACAGCATAACAGCAAATGTTGCTCTGCCTAGTAAAAATACATTGATGATATGACTCATAGGAAATTTCTTACTCGGTTACAAATATCTTACACATGCAAATAATATTATCTTCCCAGCTAAGTTATAAATTACATGGCAGGGCAGTATTTTACATTTTTTTCTTAAAGAACTTCTAGTGTCTTACATAGCTCATAGCAGTTATAAGCTGTAGGTAAAGAACATAGAATCCTAGGGATTTTGCCACCTGAATGTTACACAGCTTTTACATCTACAGAAAGAATCAGACTGTAGATTGTTATGGAAAGACTATGTTTAAATCATAATTCTCAGCTTAGCAGAGAGAGCTACTCTATTTGGGTAAGGCTTCACTGAAGGAGTTGAGTCTTCTCTGGCCTTTGAAGGCTAAAAACTGAGGAAAGGCATTTCATTGCAAAAAGAATAGCTGGCACGCCATTCTTTTAGTTGGTCTATCTACTTCTTCGTGTGTTCTGCACCTCTGCCATTTATCTCCAACCTCAGTTTATCTTTTGTAATACCTCCCTTCTCTCCCTTTTCTGAATAGCTTCTCCTCTGAATATTATGACTTGCTTTCCATCATCTATCCTTTTCTGGAATTGTTCAGGAACACTGACAATGGAACCTCAGAAGGGCAGAGGTGAAACTGTTAAGAGCAAAGCACTAAGTAGAGAAAAGGGTGGAGATGGTTGGTGGCAGTGGTTCAGGCTGTGAATGTACTAAACACTGACCTGTATGCTTAAAAATAGTTACAATGGTAAATTTTTATTTTACCACAATAAAAAGAAAACTAAGTTGGTGAAGAAGGAAAAAAGATTGTACAGAGAAATTTGTCCTTATGGCTGAACTTATGAGGCTGATTTTTTAAAGTAAATCTTAGTGCACAATAACATTTGCTCTTCAAATAAAGATGAGCTTGCTATAGAGGAAGTTTAGATCAATACAGAAAATAATTAAACAACCATGGATCAATCCCCCAATCCATTTGGTCTACTTAAATAGTCCTTTCTTAGTGATACCTGTGAAAATCAAATAAGAAACTTTCACCTGATTTGTGAAGAAAGAAAATAAAATTAGGAACATTATACATTAGAATCTGTTACTGAATCACATTTTTAAAAAATAACATGTTATTGGATACTATATTCCCTTGGCTAGTTGGTTAATATATCCTTTTAAAAGCTTTATATTCAGTAATAATTAATTTTCACACTTCTTTACTCCAAAAACTTTTTTTTCCCTGAACTGTATTTTATGCAGAATCTTCTGTATATGAAACAGACAATACAGCAAGCATAGCTGGGCTGGTAGAAATTAGTAACAAGAGACCTGAAAGCCCTGCCCGCTTGGCCTTTCCTCAGTGTCCTGGGAGCCCTCAAGGCACTAGTAGAGAGGAAGCAGATTGCAAGCCACTGCTCTATCATATAGAGTTTATAGTAGCTTAGATCTGTTTGTGGTCATTTCTATTATAGGATAAGTGAAAACCCTTTGATTTTCTGAAAGTGTATTATTTGAAATATATTTTCACATAGCATGTTAAGAGGGATTTTAAATATTTTCTACATGAATTTCAGGTTCTAGAAAGTTTTTGCTTTTTTAAACCTATTGATACTTATCTAACATTAACTTTCAAATTGTCTTTAAATAAAGGCTTTATTGAAAAGGCTTGAAGCTGTGAAACCAACAGTTGGTATGAAGCGCTCTGAACAACTGATGGACTATCATCGCAATATGGGTTATCTCAACTCATCACCATCCTCAAGACGTGTGCGGTCAACTTTTGGCCAGTATAGCCCATTAAGTAAGCATATTAAAAATCATTTTGAACTTGTTTTTACCTTTTATTCTCTTTAAAAAACTTAACTTACATCAGTTTAAATGCATTCTGTTATTTTTCACTGGCATGCTTTGTTTTATTTGTGTTAGTTCACTTAACTTCAGGTAATATTTACAGTATGGAATTGCAGCATAGGAAGGCAACCGAGATGAAACAGTTGAAAATATCAGTAGTTTCCTAGATAATGGAAGAGGGACTTCAATTTGAATACATTTGTTAATGGAAGAAATGAATAGATAATCGTGTTTAAAAATTGCCAAAACTTTCTCCTTAGCGACTTAAGAATTATTGGTAATAGCTTCCCACCCTTATATCTGCTTGGTCTTCCTCAATGGATACCTAAAAGAGAAATCAGCAATCTTTATAGTCATCAGATGTAAATCCCTCTTCATGTTTGATATATGATCAGTCATACACCTCGCTGGTGGTATATCCCAGAGCATGTAGGCATGGGTGTCATTAGTGCTAGGGTAGGCAACACACGGAAAGGCCAGACACTTCGCTTTACAGAAGTCTGTGCTGTCACTTCAAGTATGCATTCCAGACTGTAAAAATAGAAGCCAATGCTAAAAGTTGGAACCACTTACAATGCCACAACTTTCCAGTGCTCATGGGAGTCTTAAACACTCAAATGACTAGAAATTCCACTCATTTGTTCTCCAAGCTTCACTTCCTTGATGTAGTTAAAGACTAAGAGCCTTGTTCCGATAATTCATACTTCTTCTTATGTGTTCAATGTGGTAGATAATTTGTTGAATAAATGTGCAAATCGTTACACAAAGTTACCACCACCACCACCCCTGGAGTCATTTGAGAAGCTTCTTAAAACATTAATTTCACCCCCAAATCTATTGAGTCAAAATCTACTAATGTAGAGTCTGACATATTTTATCGTATTCTTAATTTCCACAAGTAATTATGAAGTGCATTCCTGGTTAAGAATCATATTAGACTATTAACATATGAGTTAGGGAAGAAAAATTTATTCTTGAATTAAAATTAGGAGAGTAAGTTTATCAGATGACAATTTATGTATTTAGTTTAAATAATGCAAATTATTTCTTGTTCTTCATATATTTTTAGGAGGAGCTTCCAGGACATCCAGTGCTACCAGTGGTCTCAGTTTTAAGAGTGAGCGAGCAGTTGACACATCCAGTGATCTGTTGCTAAGACCTAAGCCCCTTAATGTCCATACGGCTTGGTCATAAAAACTCTTTTTACTTTAAATACTTGTTCATCCAATTCTTAACTGAAGTGCTTTTGTATATTACTCTAATTCTCTGTATGAACATCTATAATACTGTCTTAAACAATTTCAGGTGTACGAGTTTTAACTTACTGTAATTCAGTGCAGATTGTTTTCAAAATGACAATAATGTAAAATCAGTGTTTCTAATGAGGATGTATTTCTGTGAGATGCGTACGTGTGATAGAGAAATGGTAGTATACATGTATATTTTCTCAACATAGAAATTTTCTCAACATAAAATCTCAACATTTCTCCCAAGATGTTAACTATATAGTTCTCATTTTCTGTTTTTGTTTTGTTTTTTTTTTTAGCTTTTAAACCGTGAGTATAGCTCCTAAGTTTGACCAACTTTGTTTTCTGTTTGCAATCAGAATTTAGGTGGTGTGACTCCTAACTGGATTATAAGACAGTTACAGTTTCTTATACTGAAACAAATCTTGAATTTTTTCTAATTGGTGGAACTGCTTTAGATATAATGAACAGATTGTACTGGGGCAATCTTTGTGATTCATAAGAGGTATCTGCTACCTCTGTGTAACCTCACTGAGTTAGATCTTAAAATTTAATCAGCCATTCCAAATCATTTTGAACTCCTCTGAGTATTAGAAAGTTCAGCTCAGAAGCTCCTTTTCTGTGTATTTAGACATTCGGAAAAAATACTATTAATGAGTCAGAGAGATAAGGTAAGCTTTAGAGCTATAGTCTGCTGCATTGTGAATAGTTTGTCCAAGGGCCACATCATCATAAGCAAAACCAAGTATTTGTTAAATCAGCAAAATAACACCACTAGTTTGAAGAGCCAAAAAGCAGATCTTGAGTTGTGTCAGAACAGTGTTTTGAGAGATACTGTTAACAACTTGTATTACATTTAGTATTTATTGTATTAAGAGAGAAGATAAGTAAAGAGATGCATGGTCTCAAAGCTTTAGAAATTCTAGCTAGTGTTTTTAAGGGCTGAAAAAGAAAACTAAAATATGAACAATAAAGGGAAAAAGTCACATGTTTGTTGAGGCTACTTTAAGTGTCAGCTAATATTCTTGGTTTGGTTTGGTTTGCGCTTTTGGGTTGAATCCTGAAAGTATCATTTTTGCCAGTCCCACTTTTAAAGGCCTAGTAATATTAATGGAAATCGTTATGCACATAGGGTGCAGTACAAATGCAAATTAGGCAAATAGGTTATGATGTAGTTGAATTTTGAAATTAGAATTTTTTCTGTCCAGCTCTAGGCTCTTAATTTATAATACAAAGTCATGATTGCTTCTGCTGTCCTAACATGGTTTTTCATTACTGACCTTTTCAGTATGCCATTAGAACATATTGGAAGGTTTCCATGTTAAATGCCAAATCTTCCTTTTTTAATAAGAATTTTTCATGTTTAGCCACAGTAAGATTTGTTTTTTATTTTTCCAAGTTAACTCAAGCTTTGTGAATGTATACTGAACTTGGTTTTCTTTTAACACCTTTGGCAGCAGTCCAAACTGCATTCTGCTAAACCTCAATTCAGAATTTCTTGGTCTTAGTTTGTATTGTTAGGTTTTGTTGAGGTTAGGGCACGTGAGGTGTGGGAACAGTGGGGTCAAAAACTTCATGTGAACACAGCCTGTGAGATTTTTCTCCCTTTGAGCTATAATTATAATGTTCATTCATTTTTGTTTGATGCTTTGTTCTGGTGAACAAGTTTATAGATCATTTAGTGCTCTGCTTTATGTATAAACTTCAGCTATACTAAACCAAGGTTTTGTTTTGTGTTTTAACTTACTGATTTTTAATATTTGTATAACAATTTACCTTTGGAAGAGCATCTATAACTCAGCATTTGGACATCTGCCCAATAGTAAATTAGCCAGTTTTTTTAAGTCAGTTTTTAAGTTTGTGGGAAAAAATGTAAGAAACCTTTTATGTTCATAATGGCAATTAGTCTCTGAATACCCTTTGTGTTCTTTGCTGCCCTGTGTATGGGTCAAGGTATAACACATAATTTCATAGATAAAGCTATACTTTGATTTTAGATACTAATTTAACACCTTTAGTTTTCAGTACCAGGAATCCAACTGAAATAAAAGTCAGGAAGAGCAACAATACTGATCAAAGCAGAATTTACAATTCTGTTGTCATGATTACTCATATATGATGAGTATAAATAGAATATAAATAGAAAGATAGGAGTTTTAAAATGTGATATTCTCTGATGTAAGTCAAGGTACTTTAACTTTTATGGTTTGAGGGGCATTTTTATGAAGGAGTCACAAGTATATACTGTTTTCATTTTCAAGAACATAAAGTGAAGGGTAATTTGTACCAATTTGGTTCACTTGTACATAATACATATTTACATCTGTAACTAGAAATTAAAACTAATCCAAGGTCTAAAATTATCAGGCAGGATTCTTAGAGTTATTTTCATATCTGTCAAATGTTAAACTAATGTTGCCTCCTTTTTAATGATTCTATGAAAGGTTTTGAATTATTAAAATTCCCTAAGGGATAGCTATTAATACTTCTCCAACTTCCTTTCTTCAATCTCCATAAAAAGCTGCTTTCTTAGCTACTACTACAAATAAAAATTTTCTAGTTTGCTTATAAATGTAGTGTAATGCAGTTGTTTTCAACCCATTAACCCAAATGTCCAAAATGGGTATCTAGACAACTTTAAAAGAGGTCATTGTGATGGATATGATTGTGTGCTTCTCATTTTTGGATTCAAATACTCCACACTAAGAAAAGTATTATAACCAATATACTCTTGAGACACAAGTTTATTATATTTTTAATAAATGTTTAATAACTTAAATGCCGAATAACCTATAAATGATTGTATACAATCCTAGAAAATGTGCTTAATGCTAATGGCTATTTTATTTCCACAAATAAAAATTAGTAAGAACCTTAAAAATCAACATCCTTACAGTATCCTACTACGCTGATGGACAGTGACTGTAATGGGGTTTGTTGGGTGTAATGGTGAAGGGGGGAGCCTAGTAAACATAATGTTCCTCATGTAATTGTAGATTAATGATACCAAAATAAAAAAAATCAACATCCTTTTTTAATTTCCCAGCTCACTGTAATATGTTTCAGGCATACAGAACTAGCCTAGAATAGTGAATACAGAAATATAAGAATAAAAGATAGCTGAATAAGGAAATATAAGAATTAAAGTTTTGATCCTGTGTCTATTCTCAAATGAATTGTTTTCCAAAAATTAATATGACTTGTATGTGCCTTATAAGACTAAGAATTAGAATCAAGTTGGAAGGAGGATTTTAGTTATATCTTTGGAAGTATGATGTTTATGTAGGGAAGAGTTTGCTTAAAATTACATTCTTGATCATCATCTCTTTAAACCACATCATCTAATTTGTTCTGTAAAATTGTTATGCTACAATGGATACTCTTAGAGCCCAAAGGAGTATTTTTTGAAAAATGTCTATTGACATAAACATTTCATATGTATGATGAGTGATAAATACTGTTTTTAAAACTTGCTACAGCATCAGTTTAGGAATTTTTTTTATGAGAATTTAGTAAGAATGCCATTGGAATAAATCACCAGTACCTGTAGTAGTGTATTTGGCTCTCAACTCTGAATTCAAAGGATTCTTACAGTGAGTAAGATTCTGTTAGAGCAGATTTTATTTAATTTTAAAATTCTGGTGACTTTTTAAGCCACTTAAAGATATTTCTGGAACCACCCTAATACAGTCTTAAATGTTCTATGCTTCTATTTCAAAATCCACTTTGTAAGTTCAGGTAAGTTGTACTACTTGTTCTAGATGATGTTTTTGAGGTTTTACTGCTCTACAAAGTAAAACCTTAGGAGGTAACGTCATTATTTTACTATAATGAGACAGGGTTTTTCCCAGTGAACCTAATTTCACACCCACTATTTTACGACAGTAATAGAATTTGGATAGTCACCAACAAATGATTAAAAACTATTGTTCTAAATTCTTACAGTATGTGTGTTACAATGATAGTCTTCACCAAAAATCTTATATGACATTTATTTCATATATTGGGATTATAGCTGATTTCTAAGCTGGGAGTGTAGTTTATTTTCCTTTATTTTATTCTGACAGTCTTCATATTTCATGAAGAAGATACTAATTAAGCAAATGTATCTCTTCCCATGTAATTATGTAAACTAACTAGAAAAACCTAATTCTACCATTAGTTTGAGAAGATTTCATTTTAAATTACATTTTGGGGAATGTGAGAGAAACATGGTCTTTTAGGTGAATATCCACAAGAAAATGACATTTCATAGATGTTGTTGATACTGTTTAAACATTACAGAAATACAGAAAGGGGAACAAGACCTAAGTGTATGACTACTATGTTACCTGTCACAAAGCAAACACCACATACTGTGTCACCACTAACCGGATCAAGAGTTAGAATACAGCCAGAACTCAAGATGCCTTGGGGCTCGATGCCAGTCATTGCTCTCTTTGCCTGTCAAAAGGTAACTACTATCTTCAGTTCTAACACCATCGAGTTGTTTTGCCTGTTTTTGAGTATTGTGTGAATGGAATTATATAGTTGACCTTTGAATAACACAGTTTGAGTGGATCCACTTACAGATTTTTTTTCAAGAAATATATTGGAACATTTTTTGGAGATTTTTTTTTTTTGCAGCAATTTGATAAAACACTATCTCTAGCTTACTTTATTGTAAATATAATATTATAATACACATACAAAATAAGTATTAACTGCATTATCAGTAGGACTTCCAGTCAGCAGTAGGCTACTAGTGAAACTTGAGGGGAGTCAAAAAGTTTTAGACTACAAGTGGTCAACTCCTATGTTGTTCAAGGGTCAACTGTATTATTTTGGTCTGGGTGCTTTTGCTGAACATGTTTATATTTGTGAGATTCTTTCATGTTGTCATACAATAATTATATATTATATATATATAGTTATATATTTCATTTCTGTATAGTATTGTAGTGTATGATTGTACCATGATTTATTCTGTGTTTGATGGACATTTGAGGTGGTTTCCCTCTTGACTATTATAAATAATGCTAATATGAAGATTTTTGTACATGTCTTGATTACCTATGCATTTTGGTTGGGCATATACTTAGGAGTGGAGTTTCTGGTAGAGTCATATTTAGTAGATTATGCAAGAGTTTTCCAGAGTGAGTGTACCAACTTAGTCTCCCACTGAAGAGTCTTAGTTCCTATTGCTCTATATCCTAAAATTGGTGTCAGTCATTCTTTAACAATTTGGGTATGTAATGGTACTTTGTGATTTTAATTGCATTACTCTTAATCAGAATGAACACTTTTTCATGTTTATTGGCTATTGGAATACCTTTTGTTAAGTCCCTTTGAACTTTTTGCCTATTTTTCTATTGGTTGAATGTCTTATTCTTGATGACTTATAGGAGCAGTTATATGTCCTGGATACAATACAATCCTGGTGTGAGTTAAGTTACAAATATTTTCTCCCAGTCTGGCTTGCCTTTTTACTATACATGGTGCCTCTGAACAGAAATTCTTAATTTTACTTTAATTCAGTTTATCAGTCTTTTATGGTAAGCACCTTTTTAAATGTTGGATTTCATGCAATTTTCTTTTACCTGAGGATATCAAGATAATCTGCTATATTCTAGAAGTTTTGGCTTTCACACTTAGATGTGTAGTTCACTTGTCATTGTTGCCTTGATTTCAGTAAATCTGTTACGTTAATTATTCCAGCTTTATTCTTTGGGCTGAGTTTGCTGTTATTTCTGTCTTGTTGAAATGGGTGTATAATTTACTGGTTTTCAGTCTTCTTTTCAAATAAGTGCGCTAAAAGCTATAAATTTCTTTTGAGCATAGCTTTAGCTATTTCCCACAAATTTTGATAATATGGTATTTTTCTTTCTATTAAGTTCAAGGTTCCATTGTGACTTTCATTTTTTAACCCACAGGCTTCTTATAACGTATTTTTAGCAGGATGATGTAAAGTTATTTTGGGGTTTTGGGTTTACATGAAAAACTGTAGGAAAAAACTTAAAGCTCTAGATGGGAGGTCAACAAGATAACAATCTATGGGCCAAATTCAGCAGCCAGGTACCCATTTATGTGGCCTTTACCTTTTCAAATGGTTTCCTAAAATCAAACAAATATTTTGTGACATATGAATATTATATGAAATTCACGTTTCAGTGTTGGTACTTAAAGTTTTATGGAATGCAGCCATGCTCATTCATTTATCTTGTCCATGGCTACCTTTACAATGTGACAGAGCTATGTTATGTCATAGACTATCTGGCAACAATGCCTAAATACATACTATTTATCCTTCACAAAAAAGTTTGTTGACCCCTGTTGTGGATGATACTTTCTCCAGACAAGATTTACTTTTGCTTCTGGCAGGTAGCAGGGGTACTCAAAACCTGAAATTGCCGTAATCCAGTTTAAGGATTGAGATGGTCTGAAAGCTGGCATCAGTGATGGCAAGGTCCAAACTATTTCCAGTTCACTTGTAGTGCTACAGTGTCACCTTTTGGGGTCTCACTCTACAACACTGGAGGCTTTCCAGGGCTCCCCTTCTAGAAGTGGCAGGCCATGGAGTCCAGTTTTTGTCCCTTTCTCGAGAGGCTTTCAAACTCTCTTTCCAGTTCAGCCTTAGCCTTTTGGCTGAGTTTTCGATTATTTTCAGACATCCCATGGGGAAAATTGACCCCAAATACCAGACTCATTTCTCTCAGTTGTTTTTGCCCAAATCTTGGTCCCATTATTTTCCATGCTTTGTTACTCCCCCTGTGCAGGCTTTTATTTTAAGTAGTCTGAACCCCTTTCTAGTTGTTTTCAAAGGAAGTGCTGAATTACCTGGTCTGCCAATATGGAAATCCTCTATAAAATATAAATACACTTCGTTTTTAAAGATAATTCTTAGATCTTACAGTTGAAACTGCCAAATGAGTTGTATTAATCTTGAACCTGAAGGTGTTAGAACAGCCATTAAATGAAGCAGTCCCATTTTGTCTTTCCCCAGGATATCCCCACCAGGGTTGTAGGTGCCTGTTCATGCCTCCCACTGGTGACAGAAGCCTAAGAATAACCCTAGCCTCTTCCCTCGTGATCATTCTCTACCCTTTTCAACCCATCCCAGGTCCTGTAGGTCATCCGCATGCCACCCTGCTGCTTTTGCTTTGTTTCCAGCCATAATCGTTTCTCACCTCCACTGTTGTCTCCTTTTCCCCCAGTCCGTTCTCCATACTGCCGCCAAAGAGCTGAAGTGGAAATTGGATATCACTTCCTTGCTTAAAAAATTCAGGGGGTCTCTGTAGATTTTTGTGTAGAATCAAAGTTCTTCAGAAGCTCCCTCCCCACAGCCCCCTTTCAGAGTTACTTTCAGACTGTAGAATGCATTTTAGAGTTTGATATCCTCCGTGCCTTCTGTAATGCTGTCAGATGGCCGTTGATGCCTTCCACCATTAGCTAATTAATGCCTATTCACTCTTCAAAATGAGCCCCCATATCAGTTCCCCAGGTAACCTTCCTTAATCCCAACCTCCCTCAGGACTAAATTCCTTAAGGGCAGACATCATGTTTTATTTTGACTGTATATTCTCTGGGTCTATCAAAGGGTAGGTATTCAAATAATGGAATGAAATGATAGATAACCTAAAACAGTCCTGTCCACACTCACCATCCCCTTTACTCCTATCATCCTCTATACTTTTATTCATTAGACTTTAAATATGAGTCCATCTTTCCAAACTTGGGGGCTTGAGAGGAGCTCCCCTTATCTAACTGAACTTCTAGCTACTATCCGGTTTTTATTCATTTTTCTACTAAATTGAGAATGCTCTTTCATAGGTCTCTCTGTACACATTGGTTCTTTTGCCTAGGCTGCCAGCTATGTACTGTGGTATGTTTGATTTCCAGAAACCCA